GTCCCAAAAATGTATAAATGAGTATCAACTTAATTTATATATATAAATTAATTTGAAACTTTTTAACTTTGGACCGAATTAAAAATAATAATAGGTCACCTATGATCGCATTTCTAATACACGATCAATTATCTTAACTAATTAACCCATAAGGCCTCAAAACTCCCGCTGTGGGAACAAATTTTTTATTTCCCCCGTGTCCCTGTTATAGATTTATTTAATTTCTAGAATTGTAACGCTAAATATAAGCTATAATGACTTCAAATTAATTTTTTATGAGAATGAACCCCAGAAGTTCAATTATTTGTATTCGATTTTTATAATAAAAATAAGTAAAATATGAAAATAGTGTTTTTTTCCCATCGCTTTTTTTTAACTCAAAGCTAAAAACATTAATTGCAGAAAATGCTTGGTAGAAAGCTTTCCTTAATACCAGCTAATTCAAAAAAATTATTACAATATTTATTTACTAGTATTATTTACTAGTACAATATTTATTTACTAGTATACGATGGGGAGGGAAAATGAAAACCTAGACCCGAGGATGAAACAACTACGACACCAAATTTTTTTACTTATCTTGCTCTTTAAGCCTCAATAAAAGATGCTAACAAAGAGTTTTTCTCATTTTTATTTAGGATACAACTATCTCTTCTAGACCCTTTTTTTTTTTTAATTGACATGGCGCTCTCCCCTCTTCAGGAGGCGCCATTGTGCAAAGAACAATTTGCACAAACGCATGGAAGGGCCCTGTCTTTAACATATTGATCATTTCCTTTCAAAATATGTTAAGAATTACAGTTAAGTTTTCGTTTCAAATATTGTTCGAAAAATGAACTGTAAGAAAAAATGCAAATTATTTCTAACACTTAATTGTTCAAATTTCATGAATTACGATCATAACACGAAGTGGAAGTAAAAGTGCATCCACTTTTTGTATATTTAAAATTTTTTGAGGTTTGAGCACTGAAGCGATTCAGTTAATGTATGTAAATAATTTGACGGTCGACATTCACATGTTTAACGGTTGGAGTATTTTCCATTCACTTTAAAGAGAAAACAAATATTTAAAAAAGGAAAATGAAAATTATACTTTAATTATTATAGTGGATCGTTCTAAACAATCCACAAAATAGATATTTGACGGATAATCCCTACTCGAACTATAATACTAACTAATTAATTCGTCTAGATGTAATTAATTATTTATTATCGACGGTATACTAATAAATTAGTGACGACAATATTTTAAGTTAAGAAAGGAAAGAAAAAAAAAAACCTATTTCTTTTCGGATTTATGTTTTTGATCCGAAAATATGGAGATTCACCACAATCTAAAAGAATATGAATCCAATAATTTAGTCAGATGCGCATGAAACATTGAGCCACTTAAAATTAATTTACTTCATTTTCTAGAATGTTTTGAAATGTTTGAACGTTTTGAATATCTCGAATATTTGTTGTTGTTAGGCTCCTCTTTCCATCGCATAACAAGTAAAAAAAAAAAAATTACCTCAATATCTTTGTTGTTGGTTATAATTCATTTTTATAAAAAGAGAGTTTTTTTAAAAATATTCTTCACTTTTAAATATTTTTTTAATAAAAAAGTTATTACTATTACGTCAATTATCCTCCTTATAGCCAGCATTCAATATATCATAACAAATGATATAATTTTTATTACCTTATTACTCAGCATTTTATGACAATTGCAGTAAATTATCGTGAAAATTTGTATTTATTTTTATAATATATTTTATGCTAAAATGTGTACAGTCAACACAAAAAGAAAAAATTATTATTAGAAAAAACAAACAAACTAGGAACTAAACTTCTTTGATGAAAAATAAGTTTTTATAGTAAATGAAAATAGAATAAGAATTTAGAAACTAAGTTTGTGAATGAAATTGCAATGATAACCGAGCAAAATGATTTGGTTTAAATTTTATTAGAGACTGCTGAACTTAATTTGAGAAAAAAGAAAGAATTCCCACCACAGCTCGTTTTGTCATCCAAGGGGTCAATACAATGATTATAGCAATGTGGTAAGCAGATACGATTCAATTCCGTTACTAATTCGATTCGCCTATTTTTATATCCATTCTATTTCTCACTTTTTAAAAAAAAAATAAATAATCCTAATGTGATTTTTAGCTCATTAAATTATTTATTTACTAGTCACCTTTGGCAACTAGCTTGGTCAGCTTTCGAAACTATCTTGAAATCTAAGATCTCAAAATTATTTTATCTTAAACTTTAATGGTAACCAAGCCGAATGTTCAGCACTTTTCCTCCAATCCTAATACTTTAATTAATTTTAAACAATATTTACCAGCTTTCAAATGAATTAGCAAAAAACTTGTTTTAAGTTTCTTAGTCCACGTAATAGAGGATTTTACCTGGAAAAATAGGCGGGAGTTTTTATTTTTTTCATATTTATAGTTTTTGGGTTGGGTTCAAGACCTCAAAATATCCAAAGAATCCGTATTTTGCGACCAAATTTTTTTTCTGGAAACATGATTTTTTCCTGAAAAAACTGGAAAAATCCAGTTCTTTGCATAAATTTTTTTTTCCTTTTTAGTTTAAGATAGAAAGTTTCTGATGGTATGTTTGGAATCTAGAGAAAATTTTCCACTAATTTTATATACCTACGATGAGTCCATTGGGTGATAAATCAAAGAATAATGACTAAAGCAATGGAATGACGTCTCTCTCAGCATTTCAACGGAGGAAAATAGACGAGAATAATTGATAGGGGTTTAAAATTTCAAAACAGAAAAAAAATTTCTCTCGTGGGATCTATTAATCTACAAAAGAAAAAAAAATTATTTCTACCACCTGAGGAAGAACTTCGCCAATATTTTTTCTGAACCGTTTCCAAATTTATTAATTTTTTTGGTCTGTGTTCGATTTTTTTTAAATTATAATGTTACTCTATTAATTATTTCCTTTATTTTTCCTCTTGGAAATACTGAGAGAGACGTTATTCCAATGCTTTAGCCATTATTCACATAGGGGAGAGTCGGGTAGCCCCGCCCACAGTCAATTTCATATGCATAGAATATTTTTTCAAGTCAATGGGCCATCGGACATTAATTGTTGTATTAAAAAAAGATTATTTTCAAAGTTTCAAGTATTTATGCAGCTGTTAACATGGTAAACAATAGTTTTGTAAATATGTTGATTACAGTAGTCATGAAATTAAGAAAAATTGGTTGAATGTTTCGATTAAACTTCCTTTTAATACTAAAAAAATGCATTATGCATTTTTAACAACAAATATTGTTGTTATTAAATGATTGTTATTAAATTTTTGTTATTAAATGATAGAATTCACTAAAAGTATATAAATATGTAATAAATAAAACAATTTTGTGATAAAAATGATAAATGAGGTTTATCTACTGTCAATACACTTTCATTTACACCTGAAAAAATAGCCAAGAAACATAATTTTTGTAACTGGGCGGGGGCTACCCGATACATTTTGAAAAGAGCTGAAAAACATGTTTTTTTAAATTTCTATTTTTTTAAGTTCAACTATTCTTTTTTTGGTTTATTCTTTTTGCATTATTCAATTAGATGGTAAAACAATAGAAACATACTAAAATATTGATTATTACTCAATATTATACAGAAATATAAGAAAATACTCCTTAAGTGGGCGGGGCTACCCGACTCTCCCCTATATATATATATATATATGTAACTGAATGAATGAAGATAAAACAAAGGAGAATTATAGACATATGAAAAAGGGGGGGGGGAATGATAATAAACAACTGATTAAAAAAAAGTATGGGGTATTGTATTAATATATTTTGCTTCAGCTACATTGATACAATATCAGAAAGCACTCTTTTTTGCGGATATAATCGTGCGGGCTGATGAAAAGATTATATCTTTTTTTTTTCCTGTTTTTTAAAAAAAAAATTTCATTCTCTTTTTTTTTTAATCAGTTGCTTATTATTATTCCCCCCCTTCTTCATATGTCTATAATTTTCTTTTGTTTTATCTTCATTTTCAACTTATCTAATGAGTTCTGTTTACTTGCAGCTTATGAGCAATAAATGAAACTTATTGTTTTTCTTAACTTTTTCCGTGTTTCCTTGTATTTATTTATTTTGTTTTATATATATATATGGTATACATTTTTTTACCTTATCTCA